TGCTTCAGGAGCTACTGGATGAAGGATCCAACAACTTAGATTTTCTACATATCCTCACAAAAATTGGAACAGAAGCATTATTGAAGGAAGGGTATTGGAAATATAGATATAGGCAACTGGGATATAAAGTCAGAATCAGAATATATGATGAAGATAAGAAGAGACTCAGATGGGCTAGAAGGAACATACCTAGGCACAAGCTTTTCTCAATAGAGAGAACCCCTGTTTTTGCTCCCATTCAAGAGGGGAATCAAATTCAGGATTGAATTTTTTTACCAAAACTCAATGTATTTTTAGCACAAGAAGAAATATTAAATTGTAAGGGATCACAGTTGGTCAAGCAAGACAAGAGAATATGGGGGGAAGGTCAAGCAATAGGAAGCAAGTCCATGTGTACTAAGTATTTTTAGAATGGCGGTTACAGTATATTTTTCTTCTATCTCCTTTTTTTTCTTTCAGAGGCTTTGGAATAGTAACATAGGACTTGGAAAAAAAAAAAAAAAAAAAAAAAAAAAAAAAAGGATTGGTGTATTTGATATTTTCAAGGCCTAGGAGCAGGCAATCCAGAAAACTAGAAGTCAGATAGAGGGTGGGGGTCACTTAATTTTACACAACTGCAGCAAAGGAGTGGACCAACCAAGTAATCGCGTAGGGGTGATCAACTTATATCTCTGTTCAAATTGTAGAGTGAAGAACAGGAGAAAGCAATCAAGTGGAAGGAGAGATCTGTCTCTTCGTTTGAAGTCTGACAGCAAGCGATCAGGAAAGCTCAGCATAATCATAGGCAAGGGACAAGTTGAGCTTGGAGTCCATAGAAGTAGCTACTTAGCAGATAGAATAGATGTACACTCAACCAATCAGAGCTCGATATCAAGATTTATGGTTTAATTTCAATGAAAACAGGCTTGAAGCGATTGCTTTATATTCAAGCTGTTTGCAATGTTGAGCAATCTATCAGGATTAATTTCAAGGTACCGACAATCTGAAGCGATTTACAAGTGATAACAAAGGAGGCGACAAGCTCGGGTAAGCTGATTTAGGAAAGCAGGCACAAATAATTCACAAGTCAGAGGAATTTGCACGAGAAGGTTAGTAGGGAGAAAAAACAAGTAGCTATTAAAGATAAGCAAGCAGTAAGGGTATATCTAAATGATGAAAGAGTTCGTGCGAGAGGGAAATCTTTAAAGATCAATGGAAGCGATTAGAATCAAAACCAGAAGAATGCTTGAAGCAATAGGATGCATTCAAGCTACTGGCAATTTTAAGCCGGCTATTCAGACAAGGACAGAAGTGGGGACAAAAGTTCAATAAAACAAGAGGAGAGATCTTGGATTACACAAATCGAGCTATTTATTGACATGGTAGAAGAGCTTGGAGCAAGAAGTTGTAGCGGAAAATAAACAGGGAGAGTCTCCAACAGTTTGTTTTCAGAAGTCTATTCAAAAGGTCACTCTAGGGCCTGACTGCAACTTCACCAGGAAGTCAGACCAATCTCAGTAACTGAGTTTTCTCAAATAACTTGGTGGTTGATGGTGAAGGAAGGGGAGGAGAGCGACTAGAGAGCCTTCTTTTATATTTGCAAGGGTAGTGGTTACACAGCAATCTACTCAGATCAAAGCCGACGGGTTTCCGAGAGCCGGTGGAAGGAAATGGTGATGAGATGAGTGAGGGGGACAAAAAAAAAATTAGTGATTGAGGAGAAGGCGGTCGCAAGGCCACACATGCGTATCAGCAGTGCAGCCGGCTGAGCCGATATACTTACACACCCTAGCACATCATCAGCCATAATTTCAGGTGATCGGCTCGGCTCGGCTCGGCTCGGCTCGGCTCGGCCTATCATTCAATTTGAACATATATAAAACAAAGAAGAATGAAGGATGCGAAGTGACCAAACTCATTGATGCAATGCTGAAGAGCACACCATAAGCCACAGTTGTTGATCAAATTCTGTATGAAGCGACACAAGATCAATTGAAGAAAGTCCGATGTAACGGCTATGTAATAAGTTGGGTAGACTATAGCAGGCAATGAATGGACACAGGCAGTGGAGTCCTCAAACAATTGACTATGGTGGTGGTATATTAAAAGAGCGGGATACGATTGTCCAAGATGGATAAATGAATTTGAATACATCACGGCAGAATTGAGAAGGATGCACAGTTGTATCTTACAATCGAAGAACGGTGCTATGAGGATCTTGAGCAAACAGTGAGGGAGAGTAATGGTAGCGGCCACATACAATCCAGGGAATTTTTTTGTTCATTCAACTCAAACGCATGCAAATCGGCAAATGAAGGACTTAAGGCGGCTAGGATTACATATATAGAATTCTAGATGATGATTGGCCTAGCGGCTGATAGAACCAAAGCTATGAGCACACCATCAGCTGGATTATTGATTTATTAGAAGCTTTACTAAATAACACAAGATCAACCAAAGAACAATGATCGGGGTAGAGGGGGGCGGCAGGATATAAGAAGAAGAAAAATATAACAAGAAGACTATGTAGGCAAGATTATGAGGCAATTCAAGCCCATACAACAAGACGGATACCACATCAAGCTGAAAAGCACCAGCAGCACTAGGGTTACCATAGAGTTTTTTTGAGTCCAGAGGTACAAGGCCAGGTTGAAAAGTGGGAAGTAAAAAAAAAAAGGAAAAGAAAAGAAAACCTGGGGTCCTTCATGACCTTAAACTGAAATATCAACCAACCTGGGGTCCTTCATGACCTTAAACTGAAATATCAACCAATCTGGGGTCCTTCATGACCTTAAAATGAAAAATCAACCAATCTGAAGGGGGTCCTTCAGGACCTTAAACTGAAAAATCAACCAACCTGGGGTCCCTCATGACCTTAAACTGAAATCTAGAAATGGTCGGAAATGTAAAAGACAATGTTCCCTCATGACCCAAAACTGGAATTATTGTAAAAAGGCGGAAATAACTGGAAACCAGGGTCCATCATGACCTTAATCTGAAATTTGATGTGGAGAAAACCAACTGGATTCACAAAAATGCTGTACAATCTAACAGTGGAACCTTTGGTGATTTCAAGAGAAGAATCAATGTGAATGAAATTTGGGGCAAGAAAGGACAGGATTTACAAGAAATAGAATTACCACCAAATATTCCTGAATACTTTGAACTAACGGATCACATGAACCATCGATTTGAAGGATAGGGGACAGAAGAGAAAGCACTAACCAGGTGGAGATTGAAGACATGGGCTTTTTTGGGTAATGATTCAAACAGTAGTATGGCTAAAACCTTTTTTGGTAAACTGGGGATTATTTGAAGGAGGCTTAGGAGTATTCCGCTGGGGGAAAGGTGTTTTGAAGGTGTTTCGGACAACCATGGAACTCAGCATATGGAGATTTTTGAGGGGCCTCTTTCAAATACATCAACCACTGGCCTTTTCCTTGGACCAATGAGATGAAAGAGATTGAAATAGATTCATTAGGCGCCTTTGATTGGGACGTGGCAGGCGTGGGGGAGGACGAGGAGTTCTAAAGGGGATAGATGATACTACTGTTGGATGAATTACTTGAGAAGAAATCAGTTGGATATATGAAAACCAGTTTAGTGAAAACTCAGAGCAGAACTACAATTCAAATCAGACAGACAATGGATCAAGAAGGAGCTTTTAGGACCAGATAGGATATCAAGGGAAATGTTTTCTTTTGGGTACATCTGATGGGATCAGTGATATTTAGGAATTGGTGTGTAAGACACTTGGTAAAGACTGGTCATGGAAGGGTTGCAAGGTTCAATTATACGGCATAAGAGGGGGTGGAGCTTGTCTATTAAATGGGTAATTGTGGTGCATATGTCCAAAATTGGGGTACTCCTGGCTTCTGGAAAAATTTGATACTTGAAACAGGAATGCTGCGGACAGCATTAAGTTGGGGGAGGATGTAGTATGCCAATTGTGTTTCAAGTATCAAATTGCATAAAGTCACAGTTCAATATGTAGAAGGGCATATATTCTTAGGCTTATTATGGCATAATCACATTCTACGGGGCATTTAACCCATAGTCACTCACTGGAACCACTAGGCTAGCTCCACTCAGTCAAAAGTTATTTGGGATTTAAATTTTATTTGCATACAAAATGCTTATTGCATAATGTAAACCAAAAGTTGGCCTTAGTTAGCTTACATATTCAATATTCATTGCATAGGGTAACCACAAGTGAGCCACATTGTTTGTATGTACACTGAGAATCATGTATAGGGCTAGAACCACAAGTTGGCCATTTATAGATTATAGGTTAGGGCTAGAACCACAAGTTGGCCATTTATAGATTATTGGTTAGGGCTAGAACCACAAGTCAGCCGGGTTGTAAAATAGACTATTTAAGGAGGGGCTTTCCCCCCTCATTCCAATTTTTCATCATCAGATCATCTCATCATCTCATCTCATCAGATCATCTCATCACAACAGATCATCTCATCTGATCATCAACCAGACAGAACAGAGCAATCAATCCATACATTAACCAGTGTGATCTTAATCAAGTGCCCCATTGAGATCATTCAGACTTTGAGAAGCATAGCAAAAGTAAAGTAAACAACCAGTACAACTTGTGATCTTAAAAACAAGAGACAGTGATCTTAAACCATTGTGCTCCCAACCAAGGTTAAGGAAGAAGGAAAAGACAAATAAACACATTTTTTTTCTCAGTAGTATCTCATAAATTATCATTCATTATCAGTACATACATCAATCATTTTTCAAAATACATAAACATATAAACAAAAACACCTCTTACTCAACAATTCCACTCCAATAGTCTGCTGAATTCCCGTTGATCTAGGTTTGATAAGAGACTGCTACACATAGTTTTCTCTATCATCAGTTTTGCCACAACAATAAAAAATAAATTGTTGTGTTAACTCTTGTGTAGTACAATAGAGGGGCAGGTCTTTCAAACCAGCCGTAACAGTTGTAGTAGATCATTACATACGTGATATATCTCATCTGCTATTTCCCCCTCACAGGACTGCCACCATTCCCAAAGGAGTTCTCACACCGGTGTCAGGAGCTTCAGAAGGATAAGGAGGATAACTTGGTCGATCAGAAGGGAACAAACTTCTTCCTTCCAAATGGCGCATTGATACCTTGGGATTCTAGTAGTCGGCCGATACGACATGTTGTGGCCTCCTTTCAGCCCTCAAGGGCTACGTCTAGTCAGGCGGCACTGGACGCCTCTCCGAGTTTCAAGGTGGGGTGTGGTTCGCTTCAGCCCTGGTATCCCCCGGCTGTATCTTCGCAGACGTTTGCGGGAGCATATGAGTCCGACCCGGCTGTTTGGAAGAGACATGAGGTTTCTAAGCCTTACAAGGCTCCTGCGACTCCTCCAGCATCAGCTCGGTGGGTACCAAAGAAAGCATCGCCAGCTCCCGCATCTTCCGAACCCCTCTCCGACATGGAGCCCGAGATGGAGCTGTTTGATCGGACAGAAAGTACTCCTGAGCCTGAGGCGTCAGGATCTCAAGAGCCTAGTCAAGCAGCACAGCAGCCGAAGCCAAGCGGCTCTCAACAAAAAGTTCGTTTTGAGCGCGGCGTGTCTCGTGAGCATCCGGATGCTGCTGAAAGTGTCCTCAAGAAAATATCGGATTTGTCAGTACCTGGCGTTACGGTGTCAGAATTGATGGCAATCTCACCCACGGTTGCGGAGGGAATGAAGAAATGGGTTTCTCGACGTTGTGTGGAGATTGGCTCTGAGGAGCTGAAGGTCCATTCTGGAACGCTTGTTGAAGGGAAGGAAGCAGCTGATTTGGGAATCGACCCAAAATTGTACTTGTGTCCGTTGGGATATCTCTCGTGCTTCATAGGCGAAGATGAGACGCTGGCAGCACCCTTGGTAGACTCTGGGTCTCAATTGAATTTAATTTCTGATTCTCTGGCAATCAAGTTCAATCTTAGTCCACGCGTGAATTTCACCTCAGCTGTATACGGCATCAACAACCAGGCATGCGAGTTGATGGGGGTGGCTGAGGATGTGCCAATCCGCATAGGTAAAACAATCATACAGAGCTGTCACTTTTGGATCACAAGAAACGATGGCCCTTTAATCCTGGGTCGGCCTTTCTTGATGGACATTGGAGCAACACTAGCGTATTCGTCACAATCAGGCAAGAAGCTCATTATCCCGGATGCGGCAGGACGTAACATTGAGGTTTCCTTGTGTTCGACAGAGACGGGAAGATGGGAGCGAGATTTTCCAGGCCAGGGTCGCAGGGCAGTCTTGACTCACATGGGAAGGATTACGGACGATTCTCAAGAGGACCGTCCTTTTTTATGAGTTTAGTTGGTTCGAATCACGGTGGTCTTAATATAGGTCCTCGCATTCTCACCGTCGAATCAACTCAAAGTTTAGAGGGCCAACAGATTTCAGTTTTTTCACCTCTCAGTTTCCTTCGTCAAAATTCAAAACCCAAAAAACATTCAGAAATAATCAAAAATATCAAAAAGAAGATTTCGATTCGGTTTCAATCTAGTTTCAAGCCTCATTTGTATATTAGGAACAGGCAAGAGGAAGGAGGAGAATTGGAACCTTTGTGGAGGCAAAAGAGTGTAGAAGTAAGTCCTCCCAATGTATGCATCTCCAGGGTATCAACTACTTGCGTAAAAACTCTACAATATGCCACACTCGTGAGCCCTACTGGATTGCTACATTCCTCTTCCAGATCACCTCAATCCTCGGTTTCAGATCCCCGTCTCTGCAACGAGAATAAACTATCCACGCTCCACCTCTCGATTTCTCAGCTCTCAAATCTAGATTCTTGTCTCCGCAATGAGGATAAACTATTTTCTGTTCGGTTAAGTGATGAAGATGGAGTAGTGGAATTTGGACCTCCGTGGAGGCAATTTGGAGTAGAAGTAAGTCCTCCCAATTGTGCACCTCCAAGGCTAGATGCCACCCAACGTTTCAAACTCTACCATGTGCCACATATGTGAGCAATACCCCGGCCAACACTGGGTCGCTACTTTACGCTGCGTTATCCAGCGTACCTAAGTAGCGTAGCTCACCCATCTGCTTGGCCACTACATTACCGCTACGCTAACCCAATAATTTTTTGCTTGGGCTGTAGCGTAACGGGGCCCTTTTTTGAAACCGCCAAAAAATTGATAATGTAGTTGTTTCACCCCTGGATAGTGCGTTACTACTGCCAAAAAATGATAATATAATCGTTTCACCCCTGGATGGTTGGTTAATACACTATCCAGGGGTGAAACAGACCTAAGCTGATGAGGAACTGGTCCAGCTTTGTCCCTTCAGGGACCTGACCTGTGGAGAGACGCTGCGGTTTATCTTTGTCCCCGACCATCTCCACTTTCCGCCATTCCTGTTTATCCATCATGGCTCCCGAATCCCAGTCGTCAGAGTTCCATGCCCACGAGGCCTCTGAAAATAATCCAACAGTCTCAGATCAATCCCACCGTTCACGTCAACGGTCTTTGCGTTCTTCTTCAGTCACAATTTCTCCAAACATGATTGTTCCATCATCTGACTCCCGGAGGACAGTCAGCCGCCCTGCTCCTCCAAATACCAAGAGGCCAGCTATGGCATCACCTCCACCAAACGATGCCTCAGATTTGGACTCAGGCACTTCAGTTGCAGATTCAGCTACATGTAAGAATACCCGGTCCAAGCGACAGAAACAGAAAAGAGCTTCGCCGGCTGTCAAGGCCCCAAAGTCGCACAGAAAGAACAAGAAGAGTAAAACTACAGGTTCCAGTGAAGCTGTCAATGCGGCCGGCGAGGCCTACGATTACGACCAGGACAGCTCTGAAGGCTCTGTTCAAATAGTTGCGAGGCCAAATAGGAAGGGGGGATTGAAGGAAGCAAAGGAAAAAGAAGCATTAGAGCTCCTGCGATACTTCGAGCAACCATACTTCAAGAAAGGCGATCCGCCAAACTCTGCTCTCAACTACCAATGCAAATTTTGCAAAGGTGTCTATCGTGGACAGAAAAGCTCTCGCGGGAATCTGAAGACTCACCGTGATGGTTCTACACAGGAGGACAAGAGCGACAAAGGCTGCCCTGGAAGACACAAAGCTAAGCTCGCTGGGTATATCTTGCCCCCATCGGTAGCCGAATCTCGAGCGGCAGCGGCGAAAGGAGGGTTAGATGCCTCACAACCAGGAATTAAAGGCTTTCTTGAGTACAAAACCGTCTTTGTAAACAAAGTCTTGAATCAACTGATAATGCTTTGGCAGATTCGCCAAGCATTGCCATGGACTCGAATTGAGGATCCTTACCTCCGAGCGGCATTCCGATATGCAAACCCCAAGGCGCTGCTTCATGGTCGTCGATGGTCTGCCGATGAATCCAAGAAGTTGTACAGTATGCTCAAGGCACATGTTTTTGACGAGTTGAGTGTAAGTACATTTCCTTTTCTTACTCGAATTGTTGCTTGTTGTTTCATTAAACATACTGACGTGTGTACATTCTTGTCATCAAAAGAATCTTGACACTAGGTTCACCCTGATCCATGATGTATGGACCACAAAGGGGAACCGTTTCGCTTTCATCGGTGCCGCTGTCGCCTACATTAACCGCGAGTGGGAATATGTTGTCCGACACTTAACCCTCAAGATGATTCCTTGGAAGCATGCTGGCCATCTGTTGGCTCGTCCTATTGCCGTGATCCTCAAGAAGAAAAATTTACATAGAAAGATGTTGGCCCAGACTACCGATTCTGGGTCCAATAACAATACTATGGCTAGCACGATGGACCGATTGCTCTGTGATGCCAACAAGAACACAGATCACGCCTGGGATCCGGCAACTTTGCACATCCGGTGCTTTTGCCACAAGCTTGCACTCATTGTAAATGCGGGACTCGTGGCATTGTCCCTCAAAACCCTTCCGCCATCAAAAACCAAAGCCTCTGTCTTAGGTTTCTTCCCTGTACTTGGAAGACTGGTGGAGGAGGAAGAACCCGAGCGTTTGGATTCTCAGTCTCAGTCAATTACTACCACTAGTCAAGCTCCCAGAACGGAAGTGACAGAAAATCAGGAGATGGATGATGAAGATTCTGGAAGTGATTACGGGAACGCCGACGATGAAGGGGATGATGAGGCTTCCAATGTCATGGAATCCGGGGATGAATCAGAAGATGTAGGCCAAGAAAAACATGGAAAAACAACCAGACTTCTGGATCTCACCCAGAAAGTAAGCTACATATTCACTTGATGTCCAGTCTTCAGTGGTGCACATACTGATGTTGTTGGATAGCTTGACATTGTGATCAAACAGATCACTCGGTCAGCTGCCCAAAGGGCCAATTTCACCCGAATCGCTCAGCAACTCAATCTGAAGGTGACCCCGTTGATTGCGGGCTATGGTATTAGATGGAATATCAAATACCAAAGCCACAAAAAAGCCATCGATGCCCGAGAGGTCATAGACCAGATTCTAAAAGAAGATCAAGAGAGCAACGGCGCTGGAGACTTTGATGATGTTCTCTTTTCCCCTCGCGATTGGAAGGAGATCGATAATCTTAATCGGGAGATGGAGGTAAGATTCCAATGGACCTACCTTTTTTTCCTGTTACTGACCTAAACCGAGACTTTCCAATGTAGGTCTTTGTTAAGTTGACTTCGGAGATGGAAGGGAACTCACCAACCGGTACCCACGTCATCCCAAAGTACTTGGAACTCAAAGAGTCACTCAAAAGAAAGCTAGCCGACTCGTCCTCAAGGGATTCAATGTATCCCATGTATCATGCAATGTCGGAACGAGTCGAGA